AAATTGAAAATGTGTAAATCAAACTTATATATAATTATATGTATTACAATTTGACAATTTTTATTATTTTACTCATTGTTTTATAATGACATAAAAAGTAATATTATATATAAAATATTTGAAATTTTATAGAAAATATTTTTACAAATTTGTTTACAGAAAAAGCATATTAGAAAAGAATATTACATATTTTTTCTGTCAAAGTTGTTGTCACCTTTATATTTACTTTTTTTTTTACTAATTTAAGTAAATCTTGTTGCAAGCTTATTTATTTTTTAGAATTTATTTACAATTTTAGAAAAAGTTCCTTCATGATTCGCGTAATCTATTTTCATGAAATTAAACAATGCTACATTAATCAAAACATAAATGAAAAATCAATTTATATAATTATTGTATTAATCAACAAGATTTCGATAATGTTGATAAAAGCTATATTTTGTACTTTTCATGTCTAATATTCAAAAAATCGTAGTACGTCATAGTCAAAAAGACTTATTTTTTGAATGTGTAAATATGGCGAGGTCTTCTCGTAGATTTTGCATAAATGCAACAAATAAATTTCATTATGTATATAGACTGGTAACGGCGTTTTTTTTTTATAACTGTAACGACAACGTAATATTTCGTATTAGAAAAAATTTATTAAAGAAGCTTGCTCTATGATTTGACAAAATCATGGCGAATCATAAGGTATCAAAATATCCCAGTGACCAAACGTAAGCTGTCACAAATAATGTAATTTATAATGTTAAAAAGGTTTGTAACATAAATTGTGTATTTATTTGAAAATTTAAGATTTCCTCTTAAGCAAAGAAAAATTATTTAGACTCACTTATAACAATATTATTAATAAAATTAATTGAAATATTTAAATAAGTAATAGAGTGTGTCAAATATCAAAGGCTGAACAGCCAAAATAGATGATTCAATGTCCGTAACCTTGCAAGATAATAAACCATTTTTATACAATAATTTTTGACAAAAATAAGATATTATATAATAAAGATCAATTTGAATTAGTTATCTTTTACCATTAACTATATCAACTTATATTAATGTTTCCCATCAGCGTACTAATTTGATAATTGTGGTCAAACACCGCAGGACAATTATACCGGAGCCCGGATATTAGACCATAATCAGCTATAATGCATAATCTATTTCAGCTATCCGGCCACTGGCCTACATTGACTCGCTCTATTATTTATTTAAATATTTCACTTAATAATTGTTACAAGCGGATTCAAATAATTCGATTAAAATTGAAATACGTTCAAATAAATCGGTTAAAACTGAAAGGAGAGTGAAAGTCCGAAGGGATTAAATTCTAGAGCAAATCGTGCCAATCTTTACGCAGAGACAAATCTCATAGAAAGCAAGAGATTAGAGAATCCGAAAAGAATTTGGACGGACGCCATCGCTGAGGACCTCCCCATTGTCGGTTACATTATTGTCAGTGGAAGTATCTGTTCCGATCAATAATCTGCTGGAAACATCCGTCTGCCTTGCCGAGTTACCCAGCTGACTGGCCACCTCGTTGAAGGTGGTGGTAGCGGAGTAGCAGCCAGTATCAGCAACCGGCAGTAGCAAGCACCTGCCGTGCTCCCTCCCCGTAGTCCCCGCATCGTGCTCGCGAACGCGCGACCGTCAAACCGTGAGTCACTACCATCGTTTCGTTGCATGTTAACGTTTACCTGCTCGCGCTAAAGTTCTATATTAAAGAGCTTTAGTCCGCACGCGCCCACCACGCTCTCGCAAAGTGATGCATTACATGCAACAACGTAACATTATGCGCCGCGCAAAAAGAGACATAATGGGACCAGCATAGCGTACAGTACTATCTGCGTCCGAATCGATTGCGGGCGCATTATTACAAGACGATCCATTTTGATGACGCTCTCCGCACTGGATTACATTCCGATTACAGTCGAATTGACGTGAATACAAGTCGATGAATTCCGGGGGAAGGAAAAAACGCGGACACGACGTGTAGGAATAGATTATATACTAGCGTATGCATGCTCTCGTTGTGCTCCCTCGCTTTACACAATAATAACTAATATCGATGAGATTCGCACGAGACATTTTTTTTTTATTTTTAGAAATCAATTCTATATAAAAATGTTCGATTCGAAATGTACGAACGATTTTGCAAATCAAAGGAAGCGACACGCGATGCAACTGCATGAAATGCAGACGAAGAATATATGACGCAACTGTCTCTTCTTAAGAAATACGAGGGGTCAGTCGCGGCGTGTACTCCTGTCGCTCCTGAGAATGTAGCGGGTCATCGCGATAAAAATGATGTGGACGTATTTCAGTGGGCAATTTAAAAGACCGGATAATACGCCGGAGTATTACGGATATAGACTCCGACGCGGACGCAAGCCAAAGTTCCGGGAGGGCGGAGGCGCTCGCGCATAAAATATTCAAGAGAATTGATTCCGAGGGCGAATACAGCAGCAGCAGTAGCAGACATCTACACCACTGCGACTATTCATGGCGATAATGACGTCTGCAAAACCATGAAATCCTTACGCTCCGATGTCTCTCCCAGCATAATTATAGAAAAAAAAAGAAGAAAAATATCATTGCAACTTCTCCTCTTACTTCATCATTATCTTGTTTTCGATAATAGATTTTTTTAATAATATTGAAAGTACAGTCTTTAATGGCAACATTCTTTTTAAATTGATTTGAATTTTTCAAAATTTCGTTGATATACATAATTCAAGATATTATAGAAAGTTTGAGTAATCTAATTAAAAAAAAAAAAAAAAGACTATTAAACAATATATTTCGGATATACAAGAGGGTATTAAAAAAATAAAAAGGAAGAATTATATGTTTATCTCCATATATTTCAAATGCTCTCATATCCATCTACAAACTCTCATTTCTATTATTACTATAATGCCCTACTTCGAGCTCCTCTTTTCTAATTCTTCTTATTTGTTCTTCTACCCCCTTTTGCATTCCAAATTATATTTTAATTGTGTTTTTCTTTATCATACTACTAAAGTCTTCTATTTTTTTAACCTTATCTCTCTATTACTGTCATTTCAATTTTAAAAAATTTAAATCAATTTTTTAAAGCGTCGTATTGTCATTAAGAAATATACTTCTAATATTGTTTTTAAAAAAATGTCTCTTTAAAACTTTTTGTCAGTTTCTATATTAGGTTTCGAAATTAATCGTGCGCCGACCTAAAGTCAGACTTCAATTTCAATCGTGCACTTTTTTACGGTGTAATTTTCGCGCTGGGTTCTATAGCAATCTTACGTTTTCAGCAATCTGAAAAGACACACACATAAAAACTATATACTCACCAAACTCACCCCCAATTCGAATTTACACAAACGCTTCGCGTTTGACACTGATTGATTGAAGAAAATTCTCAAGCGGCAAATAATCCTCGTATCGTTTGGAGATATCGTTCATAGATCATTTCAATCTATTTCCATTCGAAGTAGATACTTCGATACTGCACACAATCCTTGCAATATCTTAAAATTTAAAATACGATGATACACTATTTGCTAATATCATCACGCGCGCGCGATAAATTATCAGGAGCTAATTAAATGTTCTTATTCGATTAATTTCAATTCAGTGTCGACGGTCAGCGAGCTCATTCTTTTCTTTTGCAAGAAGAGATCGTTTTTATCAAATTGATTGTTAGTCACGGTAGTTCTGTCTGAACTAACGACTGCCATTGAAGAGCACTGGCACCATCAACCACCATAGCACCATTCTACCGCCATCTTCTTACCTGTACAAACGGTACCACTACGACAGGTATAGCAGGTGCGCGTGCACGATCGCCAGGGTTATCGATTACAGTCATTACTTATTTCGAAGGTTCATTCTCGCGCGAAAAATGCGACGAGATAGCTCGAGCAGAATAAATTTAAATATAACAATTTGCAAGGATTGCAGGAAGCAGTCCTCTCTATCCTATCACTTTGCGCGAAACAAGTTTCGTCGCGAGAGAAAGACTCGAATCAGCAAACGAATTTTAATCTTCTTTGCGTTCTCAATCGTTGATATATCTGATGTAAAAATTATATCGCGTCCTGCGATATTATTTTTTAAATTAAGTAATGGAATTCATAATGAAAAATTAAGCTTTGAATACTCGTGACTATCATAGTTTATGGAGCTGGAAATATCAAAAGTAATCAAATGTTATGATGAATCTGAGACTGTGATGCATTATGGATCGTTATAACTTTATGAAGAATCCGAGATTGTGAGGAATTACAATTTTATGGACGTAATTTATGGGCGTAATTAAAATTAGGCGTGGAGTCTATTAATTTTTATCTTTGTGATATTTAATCTTTTATTATATACAGTATCAGGCTGTTCCTCGCCTTGATGAAGTAAACTGCAATGTTCATGAAACACTGGCGTTCTAAGAATAGATTTGGATACGGAGATAATCCAATCCGCGAAACGCATAATTTCTGTATAGAAAGTGCCCGTGGAAACCTCAAGAGTCTATAATCTTTTATTATGTTTAATTAAATTTGTATGTAAATCATATGCGACTAAAAAAATTTTGTAAAGTTGAAATCAGTTCTGTTTAATTTTATCTAACATTAAATCAATAAGTTTTTAACATTTTTTTGTTATTAACTCGTCTTTGGCCGTTTATTTCATTTGATTGTTATATTATCTTTTCTTTCTTTTTTCTAATTATTTATATTACACCAGAATATTTTACAGAACAATTTCATCAGATACAGAAGAAAACACGATTGGCGAAGACCTCTAACGTTCGCACAACGGCGAAATTGCACCTGGACCCGCAGTTTTTAAAATCTGCCGGTAGACGAACCGCCACATGGAAGATAAGAGGGACTTACCAATTAGTCGTAAAAGGAAGGCGTCAGCAAGGCGTGAAAACTTGGCGTACGGCGAAGTAAGGGGAGTTTAGCGAGAAGAGAAAACTGCGAGTGTCGATGATTTATTTCCATTACATTATAGCACTCCTAATATTTGATACTCGTATTTAAATCTGTCCTAAGAAAATCCTCAAAAAATGGCCAATGCGGATGTATCCTCGATATCATCTTGGCGATTAGTCTGCCGAGTACTCCTACCATCCTTATGAAAGATTATGGAAATCAGGACTTTTAGACAAAAAACAGTTATGCGTTTGTACAGAATGGACTGTAATTCGTGAAACAATGGAAAAGAAAACGATTATTTATGCAAAGATAAATCGGAAAAGATGTAAAATATTTCTTTTTGAAGAATACCTCGGATTTTTTCTGAAAGTCCAAAATTTTTATTGCTCTTAAAAATCGATTTGCACGTAAAAAAAACTAGCTTTTGACTTTTGATTGGCGTCATTTTGTTATTTTTCACTTCTCTCCTTTTCCCAAGTTTATGCTCTCCTTCAAACATTCACAAATCAAAATGTTTTTCTGTTTCAGATTATCCAGAGTCGAGATATACACACTGCGTTTTTTTTATAGTGCACTGTAAACGCCAATACTTTAGAACTTAATAATGAATATATCTATCAAATTTTTATATATATTAAAGATAATTCAATATACGTACCAAAATCTATAAAATTCCAGTGCAGATTTTTTCAAAAAAATTCCTAAAAGCGTCGCTTGTTAGACTTTCAAAGAGATCCTTTAATAAAAGAATTTAAGTAGATTTAATCGGTGAGAAAAGTAAATTCTATCCTTATGGACATGCACAACACAAATAGAAGTAACGATAAATAACAATAAAGTCAGAAGATGTTTTGTATATAAAAATGTAATTTTTTTTCAATTTATCTTTACATAAAAAATCAATTCTTTTTGCACCACGAATTACAGTCCACTGTACAGGTACAAATACAAGTTCATATACACATATATCCGCATAAATATGTGCATACATACATGCATATGCATGATCCGCTCTAGAAATTCTAATATAAATATAAATATTTCATTGAATAAGTCGCGTTATTGCGCGAATTACATGAACCGAAGAAAATGCTGTCAGGATGTGATGTATACCTACGATTGTATTGTGTGAGCGCACGCGTGCGCACGCACGTGTATGTTTAAGAGTCGGAGGAAGGAAAGGGAGAGAGACGGAATACGAGAAAAAACGTACGTGCATACCGATTGTAATTCAATTTAACAAACGCTAGCTCGCCAGCGCGCTTCTCAATAGTCATTCTATTGCGCACACGGTCATTCCATGACCACGAGAATACAAATTCTAAGTGAGACGACGACGCATGTCGACTGAAACAATCATCGGTTTCCGCTATCTACGAGATATCGTTTGGAGTGCAATAACGCCGTTCATACACGGTATTCGAAAGGTAAAAGTTTGAAGAGAACTGCAAAAACCGATGTATTATGATGTGTGACATGCCCTGCAGTCACCTCGTTGCTTTAATTACCGATTCTTATGATTGTTGATTAGTAGTGAACGGTGTCACTCCATTATTAGCCATATTGTCCAGAACACCACTGATGTACGCTGCGACATCGATCGTCGCTTCCTCGGCTTGTCTGATGAACGGATGTTCCAGCAGTTTATTGTATTTCGGTCGCTGCGTCTCCTCTTTAATTAAGCTTAACAGATAATACAAATGATTGTCATACCAAAAGGAACGTGTAGCTATAGAAAAATATGATGTTATTCTACCATGTATTCACAAAGTTCACAAAATCCATAGTGAAGTGATTGCCATTCTCATTGGGGGAAAGTCGCGGTGGATCACCTTGAACTACTTGATACAGTTGTTCAAACACAGAGTTCCACTTTGGGTATGGAAAATATCCTGTAGCAACCTCCATCATCGTAATACCTAATGACCATACGTCGCTTCGTACGTCGTAGCCACGTGCGCGTTGAGGGTCTATCCTTTCCGGCTAAATAATTATAACATTTATGAAACATGAGCAATTTAACACAAGTTATTCGTTTTAGAATTATTAATTACACACGCTGTAAAACTTACAGCCATGTATGGTCTACAACCAGCATCACGAGTCCTGGCAATCGAGTCCACAAGCTGACCAGATATACCAAAGTCGCACAATTTTATGTTACCTCGACGATCCAATAAAATATTACTAGGTTTCACATCCCTGTGAATTATTCTTAGTTTCTCTTTGAGGTAATTCAGTGCCTTTACAGTGGCAACTGTGATTTTGCCTAGAATACATTCTGGTATCCTCTCGTTTAATTTCTCATAGATGAACTTGTAAAACTTATCTAACGATGTATCCATAAGTTCCATGCAAATCCAACAATCTCCCTGTATATGAAAGAACAAAATACTCTAATAATTATCTTGATCATTAATGTACGATATCATCGAACTACATATACCTCTTTAAATAAAGCGCCATAAAATTGCACAATACACGGGCATTCATTCGATTTCATCACAACTTCCAAATCCATTAACAATTGCTTTTGTTCTCTTTCGTCTACGGTAGAGCGAATTCTCTAAAATATAATTCAAATAACTTACAAATTCTAAATAGAATTTATTAGGTATGTGTAAAGGTCTTTTATGCAATAATAGCCATACAAATATTTTTACTTTCTATAACTTTTTGCCATCTCTCAGTTTAGACTTTTTTTGCGAAAAAAAAAGACATTGGTTTAGAAGTAATAACATCTTTGATCTATCTTCTAATTCTAGCTACATCTCAGAAACATTATTCAACTAAAAAATACATCGATCGGAATAAGTGGTAATCAAGTCGAATAAATATGCTGCACACAAGAGAACTTCCCAGGCTAAGTTAAAGATGATTTGCCGAGTACAAAAAGTATGGGGCCTAGACTTATTGTGCAGCAAAATGATCTTCTAGTTTCCTTGTCTATATTATATGTAAATAGCTTTTTCTATTCGATTTGTCAACTAAATGATTCAAGTGACAATTATAGTATTTACCAGATGCAAAAAAAGACCTTATACATGAATGTTTAAGTTTGTCGTTATATTCATTAAATCATAATAATGATATTTTACAAACTTTAATTCAACTCTTCAAAAATGCAAAAAAAAAGAAACAAAAATTTATTTGAATATTAAATAATTATAACAAGAGGCTAAAAAATAGTAAAACTTTTGCACACACCTAATCATTGTAATTAAAATTGTAATTTAAAGCCAGAAACACTTAGAAAAACATAAGGGAGCAGTTTACTTGCATACCGTTGCAACTGTCCACTATTAATCACAGCGACTTTCACCTAGGGATCTTTTTTTATTTTTTTTAATGCTGTGATTAGTTGGTGTCCAATTACAATATGCACAACTGATATACATTCAAAAGCAGTAAGCAATAAGCAAATTGACTAATCACAATAAAGAATATAACGCATTAATCTTATGTTCTCTGTAATTAACCAATTTGCTTACTACTTATGTTTTACTTTCTTACGTTTCTCTATTTCTAGCTTAAATAGAATTAGAAGGAATGAGAATTTTAATTACTTACCTTCACAGCCATAACGGTATTGCTTATCCTATGAATCATTTTATTTACAGTTCCAAATCCTCCTCTTCCTATCTCTCCAAGATCCTGAAGGTCCTCGCTTGTGAAATCATACACTACGTCTGAAGATAATTGCAATTTACCAGTAGTCTGCATAGACTGGCACATTCGTAGTTTGTCTCTACAATAAGCTCCGTTGTAATTTATCTCAAATGATATGCCTTCTTTTTGTTTCTAATTCCATACCTTGCCTTATCAGGAAGAAATTCTTGCTGCTGTAACATATTGCGAGATCTTACTGGCAGCTTAGGTAGAGATAAAGGCAGACTTGGGCGAGAGGATCTATTATCACGAATGGAAAAGTCAGTCTTATTATGTAGAAAGGACAAACACCTATGGAATTATTTTACTTGCTAAAATCTCACATTGGTGGGCACGCCATGGCTCCTGTTGAATTTGACAATAAAGAATTTGTAGAATTGGCAAATGACAAATTATTGCCTTGTGTTTGGAAACTAAGTTTCAGCTGTCTTCGTCTCTCTGCAACAGAACGCAGAATAGTAAGGAAATCATCCTAACATTTCAATTTCTCCCTCTCTCTCTCTCTCTCTCTCTCTCTCTCTCTCTCTCTCTCTCTTTTTCTTAAAAAGATCGCATAATGCCGAACGTACCCGACATCTCATTTTGAACGTCATTATTTGTTCGAAAATCCATTCGCGGAAAATTAAAAGATCTGCCAGAACCTGCAATGTTAGGATTCTATTAGAAAGTAACGAAGGAAACTTTGAGACCGAGAATCATGTGTCGTTCGACGAAATCGTGGTCCTCGCTTATCCACGAGAGTGGATCTTTTGGGACTCGTGTCACCGCGGAGATGAGATTAGGTTAAGTTATCCACATGAAAGACAGCATCGTGTGTGCAAGAGTGACAACAACATACCTTGACCGGTCTGGCTGGATAAGTTGCTCTGATTCTCCGCCATTCTGGCAAGAATCACCCTCGAACCTCGCGCCCGCACGGAATCGTCAAAGGCGCTTCTTTTAGGAGACCTTCTCGGAGGATCTCAACAGTCTGGCGAATACATTATGCAGCAGTCGCACCATTTGTATTGTCGCGCGATCCGAAAGGTGAGATTCCGTTATCCGCTTTCAAGTTCCGAGACGATAATCAATGATAACTACCGAATCACAACTACCGAACCTATGAATCCTCACGAAATCTCATTCACTCGTCGACAGTTATTCAAGTTATCACGAGTCACGAGTATTCGACCGCTTAAGGTGCTTTTCCATGGACGTCAATTGACGCTCGAAAACAGATTCGGGTAAGGTTAGACTAGTACAACAAGCAAGCAGAACAAAAAGTCGTGATAATATCGAAATGATGTCAAAATGACTCCAAAACCTTGAACTATGTATACACTGGAATGAGCATCGAGGAAAATTCGTGGCCACAATTGATCAGCCGCCATTTTAGTTGGGACGATATTTGAGCGAATCAGAAGCGTTCGCGCGCACGCTGCGATCGATGTATCTATCGATGTACTATCGATGTATGGAAATCTTATATGGACATGAATGGTATGTAAACAAAAATAATGTCACTTCAATTTTATTAATACATTCAGTAAAATAACATTAATAATAATTTTCATATCCTACATATGCAGGGATTAATACATTTAATACAAAAATTTTTATCTGTGAAATAAAATGCCCTTTTTTATTTCTTTGCCCACACCCAGGCACACAACACTTCATGTCAATGCTTTGCACATTTTACAGTCACGCGATTTTATAACCTTTCAAAGTAATCTTTCAAATACAATCCTACATACGATGATCTTGCTGACATATACGTCTCACTACTAAACGTAAGGCCGAAATCAGACTATCCATTGAAGATTGAAATTAAAGATTAAAGATTACAATTTCACCAATGAGGACAAAGAAGTTTTGACTCCTTTTGTTCTGATTGGTCAAATTTCAATCTTTCAATCTCTAATCGCATTCTTCAATACGTAGTCTGATTCTGGCCTAAGTGCGCATGAGCACCTGAAAGCTTCTGATTCGCTCTTACATTGACCAAATTAAAATGGCGATCAATTTGTGCCACGATTTTCTATGCTTCACATCAGAGATACCCATTTCAGTGTTCATAGTTCAATGCTCCAAAATGATAAATAAAAGTCATTTTAAATTCATAAAAATTGATTGGATATTTCATATAAATATTTTTATATATGTAAAATAATTTAAATAAATTAAAGTAGTAATTATATGAAATTCTAGTTATTATTTTAAAACTTTTATACAAAAAATATACGCTATATAATAAAGGAAACGTGCTAATATAAAATATATATAAAAACAATTAATTAAAAATAAGGAATTTATATAAGTAACATTTATTGTACATATTGTACGTAGTTCTTTTTATGTTTCTTTTAACTATTAAATGAAATATGAATTCTTATTCATATTTCTGAGAATAAAATAGCATTTATAATGCATTTTTTAATGAAACAATGGATTTCTACTCACAATCTTGAATTAAATAGTATATAATTCATGGTTTATTTTAAAGGAAAAACTTTTTTTTATATTCGATATATTTATTTTTCGATAGATATATTTTTTATAACTTATTTTTATATTTTTTTATATTCTTTTTTTTTATATTTCAACTGGATTGAAAAACTGCATTTTCTATTCAGAATTTTAAATTAAGCAGCATTCACGATGCACAGAAATAGGCGATATTTATTTTTAGATTCCACTGAATTGAAAAACATTTCTTATTCAGTTTTTTAATTCATGAATCTGTAGTTCTAAAAATCTGAATCCATTTTAATCCATTCTTGTTTGTTGGAAAAGTACTTTATTTTCTTTCTTTCCATAAAATAGAGGGCTTTCGTTCATTTTCTTAGGCCTTATGCGTTGTGTAAGAGTTTGTGCTCCGGGTAGCGACACAGACTTTTGCACAACGCATAACGTTTTATATATGTACAGTGCATAAGCGAATCAACCAATCAGAATCTTTCCTTTCTTCCTATTTTACGGAAAAGAAGAATGTTGATTAGTTGATTATTTTGCATTATGCAAAAGTTTGTGCTGCGGCCATAAAAAATTTCGAGGAAACGGGTATACAGAGAAGCAATTAGCAGAGTAGAGAAATCACAGAGAGGATAAGAATCTTTTTCCTGTAACCGCAAAAAATACTGCAGCGCACTACTGCCCTCTGAAAGTTTCTCTCTGGTATCACACTGTACTAGTATCATGGTGGAAAAATAAAAAACAGATCTCACAGGAGACCTCATGTTATGAACAGTCGCTATTAGAAGAATGGTTAATTTATGTTTATTTGTTACATCGTCTACAAAATTATTAAACAATTATGGATTGGCAAGGTGACAAAATAAATAATTTTTATAAATAGATTATGATCTTCCTTTTTGACAATTATTTTAATCGTTCTGTTGTTGTATACTTACAATTTTCATACATTTATAGAAGTATAAATAATTTTAGATATTACTTAACGAGTATTAAAAGAGGATATAGCGTTTTTCCATCCAATTATATTAGACCGGTATATAGTAAAGAAGAACAAGAAACTCTATTTCAAAGCGATGAAGCAAAGAAGATTCTACATGAGCAAGTGAAACCAGCATTAGCCACTGACACATGCTCCGAATTTTATGATAAAAGAGTGCTGTGAGAAACTGTTCTAATTTTAGCTTTTTCTCAATGCAGATTTTTCTGTACCATTTTGTAACTTACCCTTCAATTGTGTTTAGAAAATTTATTAATACCCTTATGAAGAATGGAAATAAGAAATTAGCAACAGCGTTGGTAATGAAAACTTTTGAAGGTGTCAAAAGAATACAGCTGGAGCGTTATCACAAAGCAACGACGAGTGAAGCAAAAGCCGAAATTGAATTGGATCCATTTGTGATTTTTCACCGTGCTGTCGATAATTGTATACCAATTTTACAATTAACAGGTTGTTCAAAAGGAGGAATCACATATCAGGTAATGTACTAGAAATTGAAATTGGAACATCAAGAAAGAAATATTATTTTGAGATAAAAATCTATAAGTATGTTAGAAATGTGAATAAACGATTAAAGTTTTAAAAGATTTATTGCACAAATTTTTATCTCTATTCCAAGCTCATTCTATATGTTCACAAAGCTGTGAGACTGAGACTAAGTGCTTTCTTCAAAACTGGATATCACATATTGTATCCCTTGCAAGTTAAGAGTTAATACTAAACATGGATTTCTGAAATTTTAATCATTTGTTTATATAGTTTCCATAAGAATAAAAATAGTTTTGTTCTAATTAAATGTCTACTTTTAGTTTCGTAATATCAATTTTTAGCAGTGTATATTAAATACATTAATTATGTAACAACTGACGAGGTAAAATCGATCTTTTAGATTCCTATTCCAATTACACCTTTAAAAGCACAGCATAAATCTATGTTATGGTTAATTCAAGCTGCAAACGAAAAAGACTCCAATTTGAGATTTTATGATGTATTAGCCAAGGAATTAATAGCAGCTTCTCAAAATCAGGTGCACAATTTACATATTAATATACATATAAAATAATTTCTACATTGTGATACATATAATATGCTGTATGTATATTATAGTGTATATATTAAATATGCTAAAATATTTCAAGTGGTGATTCTTCATACAAATTTAAGACGAAAACTTCATATGTCTCAAATTTATTATCGATTTAGTTTCAAAGATACAGAGTGTCAAAGTTGAAAAAAATTCGAAAATCATTCAGATTATTTTTATAAAAAACTTTGTATATGTTTGAAAGTCATTTTTGATATATGTCATGTTTGATGTATCAAGTTTTCTTGAATTTATATGAAGAATTATCCCTCAAAATTTTTTAGTATACATCCTGTATAAGACATTACAATGACATCTATTGTCTCAGGGTCGTGCGGTTAAATGGAAGCAAGAATTACACAAGAAATGCCAAGCTAATCGGGCTTATGCGCACTTCAGATGGATATAGATAATAATAAATTTAATCACTCGCATAAACTAGTATACATTAAGATTCGAACACAATGAAAAAAATAAGAAACAAGAAATAACAAATTTTAATCTGTCAGAGACCTATATTCTGGTTTCTGGTTAAAATTTGTTATCGTTTGCTCCTTATTCCTTTTATTGTTTCTGAACATCAAATGCAGTAAGATAATATATGGTCAATTTTACCATTTAAAATTAGCTTGATTGGTCTATTAAGTGTTAATTGCGACTTGTTAATTCTATTTAACAATAAATATTCTAACTGATTAGAGATGATGAAACCATAATCAACTTTCAACGACAAAATAATATATTTTGTTAAATAAGTGACAATATCATTACTGAGCATTCAGTTGTTAAAATATTTATATGCTTTATATGTAATTTCATTAATTTCATATATAGTAACTTTTAGTATTCAATATAGAGTAATCAAAGTAATCAATTTGCTATAAAATAGGTCTGTATGTATAAATAAATTAATTTTGAAATATAATAATGCTTTATACAAATACTTTATACAAATTTAACAAAATTGTTAAGCCATTCCCAGAATACATCTAAATTTGTCAACATCGATTATTCGTCCAAGTTTCATATTTATTTTAAAGATCTCTGTTTGTGAAGTCAGCATTATTTTTTGATATAAAGGATCAGTAATACTGATCGAGTTATCCGACATGGGATAAATTTCATTAAAAGAAACTTTCAAATCTATCCTCTTTCCCCAATAGTCTATATAAGATAATATCACTTTGTTTTCATCTAATTTCAAGTATACATATCCTATGAGATTGTTGCATAAAAATCCAACAATATGCAGCCACATTGTTGTTAGAATTCCTGTGGATGAAAAGAGAAAATATTTATTTATATAAATCAATTTTACTTGAGAGAAATTTAAAATATATTTATATTTTACCAATTGCTATTGATGCACTAGTTACGTCAAAGGGCAATAAGCTGGCCAAGTGAAGTCCAATGATTACTGGTGTGGCTACTCCAACAAATATAGTAAATCGATATTTTACAACATTTAGACTACAAGCTTGTTTGATAAAAGGAAACATATAAATCACTTCATAATCGGGGAATTTCGTGGAGACAATTTCCACTTTTTGCTTTTCCTCATTTTTATTCGCAACATGACTTAATGTTTTAATGTTCGAATATCTAACGCTGTTTGAAGCACGATATAAAAATCGTTCACAAAGATTCGACAAGAGTCGGGAATACATTTACGTATATACACGTAATGTATACTATAGTATTTTCCTAGTTTTCGTTTATGTTTCTTTTCAAGAATAGAGGAAATTAAATATCTTGGGCCGGTCTCTCTCTACTTCGACTGACTGCTTTGACGGCCGATTAGATATTGCCAACTGCAAGACTTGAAAACATCATTTTCTGATGGGGCGCTGAATATTCACATATTCGACTCATATGGCTTTTTCATTTGATTGAGAAATCTATAATTAATATAACCTGTGCTGTTATTATCACATTGTTCTTCACAGCCGCCAGAAAATTAGGTTAGAAAGAAAATTATATTTTCAGTCTTGCAGTGACTTATGCTGACTTGTGCAGTTGGCATTACTAAAAATGAATTTTATTAAAATATTAAAAAATGAAAAGAATGAAAAACTTATTGAAATCAATCCAACTTAAGTGAAAATAATGCAAGGTAGAATATATAATTAAAAAGTTGTCAAGTTTACTAATTCGTATTTGCGATCAGATTATTAACTTAAAAACGCATATCTTTTCAATATAGATTGAAAATAATTATTCAAATTTGATTAAAAATCTTCTCTTTACTTCTTTTCTGGAGCCTGGATGGATTGGGATGGATTTCCTACCCATTATGATTCAATGATCGCGTTCAGTAAAATTTGGCAGTAAAACTCAGTTTCACACATAATAAATAATCACTTGTTTATAGTATAAATAACTTATCTATTACTTTTTTTACTATTATTTATTATTTTTCACTTAACGTGACTTTGACAATATCATATATTAAGGTCAAATTCATGAGAGAAATCTCCCTCAATCAGCATATTTACTTAAACAAAATTGTATATTTGACTTAATTGTTTATATTTATTTTAATCTTACAGTATCCAATTAATTTTAAAGATTTTCGTCGTGTCGCACAAGATACATTCTTGAATTCATCTCATATTTTGATTCTGTATAATTTTGACAACTACCATAACTGCTTGTTACACATCTATAGATAGTGAATTGTATTCTGAAAATTTTTACACATTCTAAAAACCATCGAAAAAAATGTCGCAATCTTTGTTCACGAATGTACAATTAATATGTCTCAATAATGATTGCATGTACATACATACACTTTTTCTTCCAATACCGTAAGACTTAGTCAGTTTTTCTAGTCTCTTGGCTCACTATGTACAACAACAAAAAAGGGAGCTCTCTAATATAATTCTTTTCTCTCCTTTCTCTATCTCTTTCCCTCCTCTCTCAGTACAAACTTTTATACGAGGTTTATATATGAAAAAGGAGCATTTACAATAAATATGTAAAGTCAGTTGAATTAAATCAATACATACATTACTATGTAATATCTTAAATTTTTATTCGCACAGAGAACATTGTTTTCTATATTTGAAATGAGCTATATTTACTTAAACAAATACTAAACGTAATTATTAGCTTTTATCAGAAAATATAGCAACTGTAGAATAATAATCACATATATCATTCAATTGTTACATAATGGAGAGCAAAAATCTTTATTCTGCTCCAGTGTAATAGTGATTGAACTGCATTTGCATTAAGTTTCTCTACTTTAACAACCAATTATCCGATTAATTGCTAGAAGAAAAAAGCTAGTTTTGTATAAACGAAAAAACTTGGTACAAGATACAATTTTACATCATAACTGAAACATTTTTGCTCTCCATACTATACTCGTTAATTGCGAGGCTATTACATTCGATTATTCTAATATATACTGATTAATCTTGAGAATTCAAGTTAAAAATACTCAGCGAATGTATACACATAACATATATACAGGATATTCCACTAGTACTTTAATCTTTAAAAATATTATCTCTCTCATTGAATACAGATTAATATTAAATTAAGAATCTTATAGGATTAATAATTAATGAACTCTATTAATTTTTTTTTCAATAAAAAATATGGAACGATAAATGAAAATATTAAATATTTTTTTAGTCGACATACAGCTACTAGAAATTTTGACTTGAACATCTCTAATGACAATTCACTTGGAAATGAAGATGAAAACTATCCTACTTTTCTAATCTCTCAGGAAAACATTCATTTTGAATTGCTTATAATTTAAAAGCTATTGATATTTTTGTATTAAAATTTAATATTAGATTTTAATTTACTTAAAAAATCTGTCATTTATTAACGGTTTGTTCTATAAAAGTGGGATATCTTGTATAATTAAATGACACGCCAGACATATACATTCTTTCGAGTTGTGTGGAATCACACACGTGACTGCATTAATCACAAGAATTTAATTTATTATGAGCAATCATTTCTATAAATATAAATTATTATAAATCGTTTATCAAGTAAAAGTCAAACGACATAACATCTTACATCTTTTTCTTAAATAAGTTAAGTAACATACAGGAATGTGTGGGACAAGTGGAAAACAACTTGTAATACAAATTTAAATATTTAGGATACAAAAGAAATGTACAAAAAAAAATTTATATAATATCAGCATGTATATGAATAAAAATTTGTTAATGCAGAATGACTGCGATGATAAACAAATACTTTTGGCACTTTTAATCTAACATCAGTAATTCAGAAAACATTTGTATGCAGAATAATACCAAATTTATGTGACTAACAAGTAAATTTATCCAAGTATAACTTCCGTGTTCTTCCAAATTTGGTATAAATATAGAACTATGAAAAATATTTTACCAATGTGTCTTTCAATTCTGATTACACGTATCTTGTATTTCACCGTTTGTAAGATTTTATTCTGTTCAAAGCTAATAAGAAAGTGGAAATTAAAAGAGTAATAACCCTTAAAACCACTCTTATGAACCAAAATAAAAAGATATGGATAAAATATTGCTCATAATTTTACTTACGCTAAATTTGAAAGAAATCGGAGAGTTATACTTAGGTTTACTTGTAAGTACTCTAAATGCCTTGCTCATAATTTCTAACATTTGTATAGTTTAAAATTATACTTACAAAATATGTATTTTCAATTATTTAAATAAACTATTAGAAATGTGGTAGGTTGGAAAGAATATATGCATATATACAAGATATGTCACATAGTCATAATTCATATAAATATCTAAGAATTCTTGGAATCCATTTTTTCAGAGAAACTTAATCGCTTTCAGTCAACTTTAACTTAATATTAAGAAAAAAAGATAAAAAAGCTTCTCTCTTTTAAAATTAATACAACAAAAATGACATAACCAGTAAGTATGGAATATATTCATGATTGTATAAAATTTGTTGATATGTGAAAACATGCCAGTAATAAAGATTATTAGATCCCTCTGCCATATCGCACGATAAAATAGATGTAAATTTATCAATATATACATACTTTTTTTCAGTATTAACACATTATATTTTAACATCAAAAAATAAAATGATAGTAAAGAAAAATGAAATAGAATATTTCAGATTCTTAGATTACAATTAGCGAAAATAAACATTGAAATAACTCATCCTGCGTACGTATATTCATGGTTTTATCAATTTATTATATAATTAATTTTATGGTGCTGTAATAAAAATTATAATTTTGCATAAATACATATATATAGTGTTATTTCGAAACATAATTCAATGTTATGCATATATAATTTATTTGGCAGAGGAGAAACTTATCTATAATATTATACATAAAAAGTATATCAAACTAATGACTTTCTCGCTTCTAACATGACATTCTAAAAACAATGCGTTTTACAATTCAAATGCGAAATTATCGCGGAAGTATTATTTGTTTCTTTTTTTGAATCTACTTAACTAATTGCTTTACAAAATAAAATTTTAATATTATATACTTCAAAACATGTTACATCATCTATAATTTTCTATTGTTACATTTGTTAACGTTTCATGACATATGGACAAATGGATCTACGAAAGCTAGACCCATAGAACAACACCATTTTCTATGACAGTCTTTGACTTTGGCATTATTAAAATGAATAACACAAATTCTTTTCTATATGTCTTCAAAATATGTCCCACTCCATTTTACATACACATTTCATACAAACATAGGATATAACAAACGCATACAACTCTTACGAATGTATCTCAAGCATTAAATAAAAA